ACACAGAACATCCAAGGGTATCCCCCCCAGGGATACACAAGAACACCCTACAGGCGCGAAAAGCATCAGGGTCCCACTCCCCGAACGATCCGACCTCGACCCTATGCCTCGGTCCGACCGTAGATGTTGTCAGCACGGGACCCCTAGAGGTCACGACCCTTTCACTGCCCAGGACCTCGATTTCACCCCGGATCTTCCCTTGACCATCCCAGCGCCTGGCGAGGGCCCCCAGGAGGCCGAACGCGGCGAAGCACCTCCGCTCTCATCACACCTCGGGACGCGAGAGGCCTGGGGCCACGACCTCCGCCCCCGACCGCCGCCCGACGCGAGCCAGAGGGGCCGGGGCAGCGCGCGGGGGGGCGCCGGAGGCCGTCCACCACCTGCAGCGGGGGAGGGGGCCTCTGGCCCTTCTGCTCGCCCTGATTCTCCTCCTCCCCCATCTGCGCCTGCTGCTGCTCCTCCTCCTCCTCCTCCTCCTCCTCCTCCTCTTCTTCTTCTTTTTCTTCTTCTTCTTATTCTTCTTTTTCTTCTTCTTCTTCTTCTTCTTCTTCTTCTTCTTCTTATTGTTATTAGTATTATTATTATTCTTATTATTAATATTATTCTTATTATTATTCTTATTCTTAGTCTTATTATTCTGTTTCTTCTTATTATTATGTGTAATAGTATTACTATTACTATTATTATTAATATTCTCATTACTATTATTATGACTCGTATTATTATTATCATTATTATTATTGTTATTAGTAGTAGTATTATTATTGTTGTTATTATTATATTTCGTCTTCTTCTTCCTCCTCCTCCTCCTCCTCTTCCTCCTCCTCTTCCTCCTCCTCCTCCTCATTCCCTTCCTCTCCCTCCATCTCCTCCTGTTCCTCCTCCTCCTCCTCCGGGGGGGGTGGAGGGGGATCGGCAACTCCGAAGAGCGTGTGGTTTGCAAAGGGTGTGATTTGCAACGCGCGCTCAGGGGGGGGCGGGCGAGGACCGCCACAGAGTCCTCCGCCGCGCCCCGACGAGGCCCGCCGAGGGCAACGCCCACCAGGGCGGCGGCAACAAGAGCGAGTAGCCCAACGGCGGGCATTACACGCGTTCGCCGCGGAGCCTCGCCAGAGACGTGGACCAAAGGCGCCCCTGGACTTCTGTTGCTCCCATCGGATTTGAGGACCACATCCCACAAATAATTTCGAGCACCCGGAAAAGTGTCCAAAGAGTGTCGAAACAGTGTCGGACGAGTGTCTCCCAGGGCCCGACACGCGAAAACCCCCGCGAAAACCCTCGCGAAAACCCTGGTGCTCGAAATGCTTTCTGGTTTGGTGGTCAAAGCTAAAGTAGGGTGGAACATCACAACCCTGGATACGTGCTTCGCCACCCCCCCTGGGCCATTCGCCCCTGCCGTCGCCTCCGGTCGGCGACGCAGGTCGCAGACCGCACCCCAGCATAACTTGAGCAGGGACCGACAGTCCGGCACTCCAGGCCTACCACGACATGTTATTAGAGCCCCACAGGGTTCTAAAATTATGTCGCCCCCATCGTACTTAAGGACCACATCCCAGAAATCATTTCGAGCACCCGGAAACGTGTCGAAATAGTGTCGAAACAGTGTCGAAACAGTGTCGGACGAGTGTCTCCCAGGGCCCGGCACGCGAAAACCCTCGAGTTACGGTATTCGCTGGTGTTCGAAATTCTTTCTGGTGGCCAAGGCTAAAGCAGGTTGGAACATCATGATTCTAAAAACAAAAACCGTGTTCTCAGAACATAACGCCGATGCGTTAAAATAAGACAGCCCTAATCAGAACTGCTCCATTAACATTTTCGTGCAAACCACAAGAGGGGCTTGGAACATATTTTTTTTGGTGGGCCTACAGGCAGGCCAGGACGCCTCGCCACTGCTTGGGTACGTAACCACACCCTTCGTCGGCTGCCAAGGGGAGAACGCGGGGCGCGCGCGCGCGCAAGAGCAGCTGGGACAGCGCTGCGGGGGACCCCACGGAGGTCGGAGGCTGCCACGGGAGGCCTTCGATTCGGGCTGGGCGACATTCGGGCCGGGCGAAAGGGGGGGAATAGCAAAGGGGGGGTCGAGAATCAGCACGCGTAGCTGATTTTCCTGGCGCCTCCTGGCGCCGGGAGGCGGCCATGTATCGAGGAATGGGCCCCTCGGCGAGGCCGAAACCAGCTGCACGCAACAGATTTCGTAACCCCCCCTTTCCGTATCTCCCCCTTTCGTCTGGCACGGGTGTCCCGAATCTCTGGACGCCCCAAAATTGTACTAAGAAAATGGGTACGATGCATAACAGCAACGAACGTTGCTCAAAACCGACAGTGGCCGCTGTCAGGCAAGCGGCCTTCTGTATCAGCGGCCTTCTGTATCACATGGGCAACGACCGCAGCGACGCCCACGACGGACCCTGTCCAGAAAGAGCAAGAGCTGCTGTTGGACTTCGTACCCGTTGTCTCTGCACTGAGGAGGCCACGGCTGACGCCCGCCGTGGCAAACCCCCCCCCTTGCGCTGAAAGAAAAAAACTCGCGGGACCGCCGCGGGATCGCCCCGAGAACCAGCTCACGCAGCGGACTTCCCCAGCACTTCCCGGCGCCACGAGGCGCCCGTGCATCGAGCAAGGCGCCCGGCGACGGGGCCGAGACAGACTGCATGCGGCACGCTCCGTGCCCCACCGCCGCTTTCCCTCTCCCCCCTGTCGTCCGACACGATTCGCAAGAACGACGATCGAATGCTCTATGCAACCCGGCAAAAAAACACGGCGCCAGATTAGCCCAGGGAAGCCCAGGGAATAAGCCCAACTGGGCAGGATGAGCCGAAGTCAAGCGGAGGGAAACGGAAGCGCGCCGGACTTAGCAGCGCCAGCGCTGAATCTCAACTCCCTTGGCTACATACCAACCACAGTGCTCCTGGCTCTCAGGGTGTCTCCGGCTCTTTTCGCGCTGCTTTGGAGCGCCTGGGGGAACTCGTGGGCCTCGTGAGGGGTGACGTGGAGGCCATCTGCGACTCCCTGAGGAAAGCGGGGCCACTGTGGGCCTCGGCCACCGCTAGCAGCACCGATCGGGTGCTGCGCGCCAGAGGGCGCCACCGAGGAGACCACCGAGAGCAATTGAGACCCTGAACGAGACCACCCCAGATGATCACTGTGGAGACCCCAGGGCTCACGATCGCCCAGAGCACCTCCTCCGCGCTCGCACGGCGCGGGCCGCGGCCACGGCTTCCGCCCCCTGCTGGTTCATCTCTCCCCGCGGGTTCGGGTCGCTCCTCGCCCGGCACCGCGCGTGGAAGCACTCCTCCTGGCAGCGTCATTGAACCCGACGCTGCGATGACTGTCTCGAGGGTGGGCTGCCCAGCAGCCGCTAAGCCCTGGGATTGCAGGGCGGCCTTCTCGTCCACTGCTGCCTTCGCACGAGCCTCGGCAGCGGCGCGAGCACGCGCCAGGCGAGCCGCCTTGCGCTCGCCCCTCGCAGCCTGACTGGCAGCGGCTGTAGCGCTGGTCTCCTGCTGTGCGATGTCATCCTTGTCTGCGCCCGCTGCATCAATCGCTGCCTGCGCCTAAAGCGGGGCTGCCGTCATAGCAGGACACGGCACGGCAGGGGGCTGCAGGACTTGTGCTGCTGCGTGGGCTGCGCAGTCGGGGCAGGATTGGCAGCAGCAGCAGATGGCTGTGCGGCTGAAGTCGTCACAGGAGTAGTCGCCGCCATGCTCGCTGCCGCCGTGATCTGCGTCAGTGCCGACTGCAGTCCGCCCTGTACCGTGGCCAGCCCCGCGATCTGCTGCGCCATGCGCACTTGGCCCTGCTGGAGCTCGGCGATGGCTGCGACCGAGGCACCTGACAACTGGATAGGTGCGGTCGCCACGGGCGTGGTGGGCACCACTTCCTCCGCCACAGGCGTTGCGGCGCCCTGCATCTCGACATCATTGGAGGCAGCTGGCAGCGGGAAGAGGGTCTCGAGCTGCTGAAGCAAGACCTGTGCACGTGTCAGCTCGTTGGCACGATGCTGCTGGATCAGCTGGCGAGCCTCGTGCTCAATCATGGCCTCGTGCGCCGCCTTCTCTGCACGATCGGAGCGGCGTTGGGCGCGCTCGGCGAACGCCCGCTGCCTTGCCAGGCGCACCTCCGGGGTCCTGGCCACGATGATCATCATTGTCAGCAGGACTGAGCATTCCTGCCCCTGCGCCTCTAGGATGCTGGTCGGCAGGCCGAGCTCGCGGGACGCGCGAAGCATCTTTGCCGACGCCACTGACATGCGGCGGAGGTTGCGCCTGTGGTTGGCCAAGGCAGCAGGATCCGTCGGCGGCTGCACCCGGGCCGGCTGCGCACGCGCCTGCTCTGGCAGCGCAGCGAGCACACTGAGAGCCTCCTACGGGCCTGCTGAACGCTGTGGGACTCTGCTGCTGGAGCTGGTAGCAGGTCCTGCACATCAAATCACTGGCGGCACTGGCGTGCCCGCATGCTGGACACCACCACGGCGGGGGCGGCGGGGACGGCGGGGACTGACCGCCCTTTCCTACACCGCCTTTGCCTCTGGCCTGCCACGCCATCGCGCTGTGGTGTCGCCAGGCACCTCGCCGCGTCGCTATGCGCAGCACCAGTCGAGCTTGTGCGCACTGTGCTCGGGCACGCCTGTGCCAAGCCGGCTCGCTGCTGCCTCCGCCGCTGGGCTGCTGGTGCGGCGTGCCGCCAGCAGGAGGGCGCCTGGGCCGAGGGCGTCCAGGCACGCCAGGAGCAGCGCGCGAGGAAGGCGCGGCGGGGCCCTGTCCGCCCGATGCGCGGGCGCGGGCCGGCGCGCGTGGCTGCCCGCCCCGAGAGAGGTTCCCCGTACCTGGTACGGCGCCCGAAACCTCTCGAACCGGGGCGGCAGCTGGAGGGGAGGGAGGGAGGGAGGGAGGGAGGGAGGGGGGAGGGAGGTGGAGGGGAGGACAAAAAGCGGGGGGAAGAGGCCGAGGAGGACGCCGACGAAGCCGGCGAAAAGGACGACAAAGCAGGGGGAGGGAGGCTCCCTTCGGCACCTCCTGGTCGCCCACGGCGCTCGGGACCGGCAGGATGCCCTCGATGCGGACTGGGAACTGCTGGGGGTCCATGGCCTGCGGTGGCGGCGCGCGCGGGCGGGGGGGGGGTCGGATCGGCGGGGACCAAGGCAGGCAGGGCTCGAGGATCGAACTTCGAGGGTCGAGGCTTTGCCACAGCCCCCCCTCGGGTGGGACCCTCGTCTGGAACATCGTTTTGCAAAGAGCACTGCCGGTCTCCGTCTCCGTCCTCCTCCCGCCTCCTGCCTCCTGCCCCCATGCCTGCCTCTTACCTCGCCTCCCTGGATGCCGCCAGCTGCCCATCTGTCGTCACTGCCGCGAGCTCCTGGGAGGCCCAGCGGAGCGGCACCTCTCGCGCGGGCCAAGGCGGGGCCTCGCCTTGCATGGGCGGCGCTGCCAACTGCGCGCGCACCCGTCGCAACTTGCGCGCGAGCTCCGTGGGCATCCAGCGGACGAGCGTCCTGCACGGACCCGGAACGAGGCCTCCCCCTCCCTCGGCGCTCCCAACTGCGCAGCTGCCGCCCCCGTCGTGAGCTCCTGGGAGGCCCGGCAAAGGTGGCGACTTCTCTGGACCCACGCGGGGCTTCGCCCCCCCCCCTGGGCGCTGCCAGCCGCGCACCTGTCGCACCTTTCACTGGGTCCTGGGAGGTCAGCGGTTCGTGTCGTCTGTCATCTGTACGGTCAGGAACGTTTGCTCAGCGTGCCGTCGCGGCGGCCCTGGCGACACGCTGTGCCCTGCAAGCGGATAGCGTGTCGTTCCGCTCGGCGGGGTGGGAGGCGGGGGGCGCGACACGCTAAGTCTGTCACTCAGCTGTTGTCATCTTCTCATTAGGAATCTGACTTGCAGCTGACGCGTGCTTCTTCCATATGAGAGTTGGGACACGGAACGAGCTCTGACATCAGCCAGTGTCCAAACCTGACTTTTTATCTGGGGGGGGAGGGGGCTTCACCCCCTGACCCGTCCATCACCCTCCCCACGCCGCACCGCCCGTGTAAGGGGCCAGCCCTTGCTGAACCTCAGCTACCAGGCCTCGGGTGAAGCCCAGACGATGCCAGGCCAGCGGTCCGACGCACCTAGCATGCGTTCCACCCGCTGATCGCCGCTCAGGACCGCGGCACCTGGAGAGGCAGGCGAACTGGGACGTGAAGGGCTGGACGGAGCTCTGGGGCCGTCCTGTACCGCCGAGGGGGTGGACCAACATTGGCACCCGCTGCCCCTGTGCCGTCAGGCTCCGCGCGTGTGGCCCGACTGGCCGATGATTGCGATGAGGTTCTGGAAGTGCCCTTCGGCCGAGGCGGTCTGGTCCTCATCCCTCCTCCTCCTCCTCCTCCCCCTCCGCCTCCTCCTCCTCCTCCTCCTCCTCCTCCTCCTCCGACTCCCTCCTCCTCCTCCTCCTCCGCCTCCTCCTCCTCCTCCTCCTCCTCCTCCTCCCCTCCTCCTTCTCTCCTCCTCCTCCTCCTCCTCCTCCTCCTCCTCCCTCCCTCCTCCGCCTCCCTCCTCATCCTCCTCCTCCTCCTCCTTCTCCTCCTCCTCCTCCTCCTCCTCCTCCTCCGACTCCTCCGCCTCCCCTCCTCCTCCTCCTCCTCCCTCCTCCTCCCCTCCTCCTCCTCTCCTCCTCCTCCTCCTCCTCCTCCTCCTCCTCCTCCTCCTCCTCCTCCTCCTCCTCTACCTCAGGATGTGGGCCCTGACAAGTCCAACCACTGGTACGGAACTTACGCTCGGGCGGGGGCACTCCGCGAGGGGAAGGTCCCTCGGCATCCTGCATGGTCTGCCGAGGTGCCCCTTACCCTGTTTGACCCCATCCTCCTCCGGACACGGGCATTCACTCAAGGTCCGTGCCGGGCCACTGCTGGGGTCCATCCTGCCCGGCTGCCGGGCTGCATCCAGCCCTGGCCGAGGTAAGAGGGGCAGACACCAGGGCTGAGAGGATCAGCCCGCCAGAGGCCGAGGCCCACGAGGGAGGGCCACGACGGGGGGCCACGACGGGGGGCCACGACGGGGGGCCACGACGGGGGGCCACGACGGAGGGCCACGACGGAGGGCCACGACGGGGGGCCACGATGGAGGGCCGGGTTAAGTCGGGCGTGTCCCGCTACAGGCGGGTCTTGGAGGAAGGATGGAAAATACTCACAAAATACCCCCAAACAATCAAACATACTCAAAAATTCGTCCCTAGACTTTGTTGCAGATTCCTCCTGTAGAGGGACACGCCCGACTGAAGTGCAGAACCACGGTGCAGGGCCGCGACGGGCCACATTTTTCGGGAGCCCCACGACGGGGAACCACGACGGACTGCGGGTTCCGGGGGTCCAGGCTGCCTCGCCGGGCGTTGGAGCAAGTAGCCAGGACCCTTACAAGCAAGCTGCTTGGCGAATGCAGGATTCTTGGCGAAATGGAGAATTCATATACATACATATATATATATCTCTAGAGTTGCTATAATTCTCTCTCTATATATATATGTATGTATATGTATAACCTGCACATACACACATAAATAAATATACATACATATATATATATATATATACATATATACCTATATATCAGTATATCGATATATATATATATATATGTATAAAAAATACACAACGCCATCGGGGAGCCCCTGGCCCCGCGCGACCCGCGGGAGGGCGGGCTGTGTGCTCATCCCCTGGCGGCTCAGGAAGCGCGGAGAGGCCGCGGAACTCGCAAGAGCCGACGGTGCGAGCGGCCTTGCGGCTGAGAGGCGACGGTCGGACCTAGAGGACACAAGAGCATCATCCAATCGGGGGAGGGCACAGAGGTGGTGTAGGGGCAGAGGTGGGGTTGCGTGGAACATCGCTCCGAACGGCCGCTGGATGAAGGGAACGCGTTGAACGGGACGGGAGCATGCAGCCAAACATCCGACGACATGATGTTTCAATCCGCGGGCTTCCTCGGGGGCAACTTCTGGTCCCACGTCCGTTCTTGATGGCCCCGAGGCCCGAAAAGAACCCCCCAGGAGCGAAAATACAAGAAAAAACGCCCCTGCCGAAAAAAACTGTCCGCCTGAGGTATGTTCGATGCTCGTTCTGGGGACCTTCCTGGAGCCACTCGCTCTACTCATGCGTCGATGCTGCGTGCAAAGTCCGTCGACTTGAGTCGAACTTGAGTCGAGCAGCTGGAGTCGAACTACAATCGAACTAGAGTCGAACTGATCTGCCAGGTGGGCCCCGAGAAAGTCCCCCGAATCAACATCTTAGGCCTAGGTGCAAAGCCACACTGCGCACGGGAAGGCTGAGAGGAGGGGCAGCGGGAAGCCGTGGCCCGCTCTTACTCCTCCGTCGCTCCGCCCCGTGCCTCCCTCGCTCCTTCATCACCCCCCCATTCCCTTGCCCTCCCCCTTCCCCTCCCCCTCCCCCTCCACCTTCTCCTCCCCATTCCCTTCCCCTCCCCCTCCTCCTTCCCCCTCCCCTTCCCCACCCCCCTCCCTTCCCTTGCCCTCCCCCCTTCCCCTCCCTGCGCTGTGGGAGGTTGCTTATCCGCAGCCACCGCCTGGGGGAGCGAGCTCCGGGGGCCTCGGCAGGCGGTGGAGACAGATATGGTTAGGTCGGGCATGGCCTCCTACAGGCGGATTTTGCAAGCCGAAACTAAAACATCCAAAATAAGCAAACAAAAACCCAAAGAGCACGAAACATCGTCACCCGACTGTCTTCTCACTATCGTTGGATACTCCTCGTCTGGAGGGACATGCCCGACTTGAAGGCCGCTCCTGCGCACGGCGTTGGAGCAGGGAGCGACCGTGCCAGCACTCCTGTGGGCCCACTACGACATGTTCTTTCAAGGTGGCGGGCCCGGGGGGGGAAGCGAGAAGGGGCGCACCTTCTAAGAAGCCTCGGAGGTCCCCCGGACTTCTGAGAAGTTTTCGGAGCCTTCCGCGAAGACAGAGAAAACTGCTCAGAAGGCGCGAGGGCTTCTGAGAAGTCCCGCCGCCTTCTGAGAAGGCCTTCTCCTTCTCAATTCCCCCCCTCGCTCGCCGCCGACTTTCGGGGATGGACAGAACCCCATTGAGCAAAACGTGGTTCAGTGAAAACGACCTCGGGCCCAAATCTGGCGGGCGAAAGCCTGCAAGATGACAGCCACGGCGCCCTCGGGAACCGCAAACGGACAATTCACTAGTCGACGTGTCAGGGTGGGGCTTCTGTCCACCCCCGATTCTTAGAACCCAGAAATGTCCCAAGCACAAGAACAATGCCCTCAGAACACAAACCAGGTGTGACAAAACAAGACAGCCTCAGCCAGGAGTGTTCTAAGAACACTTCGTGCAGATCACATGAGGTTCTTGGAGCATTCTTTGGTGGGCCTACGGGCAAGCCAGGACGCTTCGCCACTGCTCGAGACGTCAGACTCGAGTGAGCTCCAATCCCCGGCGAACTTGCACCATAGTTCGTGGGCCCAACTCACTGGTTACAGACTTCGAACAGCATCAGACCAACGACGTCTTGGTCGTCCTTGAAGCCTCAGTGTGCACACGGAGGCCCCCCATTCTGCAGCGATCCTTGACCACGCATTTGATGACGATTGCTGTACTTTTTACGGGCTCCCCTCCCTCCGACGACGTCAGCGGCGCAGACGGGCGCGAATCTTGGAGGCCTGGAAATTGGCACCAACACCAACACAGGGGGCTGTCTCCACAGGGGGAAGATCATCCTTGATCTCGATGCTGGTGGTGATATGTCGGTCACCTTCGAAGCCAAAATATCACCACCATCACCGGGATCGGGATTCTCTTCCCTCTGTGGAGGCACATAGCCCATATTGGTGTTGATGTCAATCTCTTAGCCTCTTTTAGCCTGCGAGAATCCGCACCGCGCCGAAGGGCCTTGAGCGCCTCTGCCCAGCGAGCCGCGATCTCCTCGGCCGTCTCGCCGCCGGCCGCCGGGCGCCGGGCGGCGATGGCGGCGAGCTGCTGCACGTACAGGTCCTGCGCCTCGGGGGGGGGAGGTGGGCAATCACATCCTGCAGGGGCCCAGGGACACACAGCCAAGTGGACACAGATCCCAGGATTCTGGGTTCGGGTCTTCCCCCAACGCCCCATATCTTCCCACATGTTCTACGGAATCGACGGTTCATCGTGTCTGAATGCTTTTCCCTCCTGACACGTGAGCGACGAGAAGGAGGGGGTCTGAGTTCCGCGGGCCGCCAGCGTGGCACACCGGGCGGACAAAAAGAGGGCGCTTACGCGCGACCTTCCGCGGAAAGCTTGCACGCGAATGTCCGCGCAGTCGACCGCGTTTTTCTTTTTACCCGTCGCTCACTTATGAACCCGACCCTTGCAGGTCAGATGTCTGGGGGTCAGGGCTCGAAAGATGTCTGCGGCCAGGCGCACTTCCGCGGGAGTGCCTGGTAGCCCAACATCGATGGGACCCGTGGGGGGTCGGGTTCGCTGGTGGTCGCGGCAGACCTGAAGAAGCAACAGGGTCTGATGCGCACCGGGGCAGGTTCGCTGTCGAACGGGCGGGCGTTGGGGAGGAGGAGGAGGAGGAGGAGGAGGAGGAGGAGGAGGAAGAGGGGGAGGAGGAGGAGGTGCGCTCATCCCAAGAGAAGAGTCCCTCCCAGCAAGAGGCGCCTGACTCGCCGATCGCGAACAGCGACTACCCGAGCTCGAGCACGCAGGAGTCCCTCGATGTTGGGCCTCCTTCCTGAATACCTACATGTGTTATCGCATGTGAATAATATCTCAAGCGCTACAGGACAGCTGGTCCAGGACCCTAGGCTCCCAGGAAAAGATGAGAGCAACACCAGCTCCCACCGTCCAAAAAACTTATACTCGGGGCCCAGGCCAGGGAGCAAACCAAAAATTATAGGCTCGGCAACAGGGCCCTTCACATAGTGGACGACAATGTCACCCCCCATGTTCGCACAACCGATTGCAAAACCCGCGGTACCACGATGGCGTCGCCGAGTGGTGCTCCAGGCATTACACCAACTCTTTAAGACACTACAGGTTACAAAATTCGGAACATGCTTGCCGAACACTACTAAGCGACTCACGATTTGATCTCCTACCTCCTCCGACATCTCCGACATTCCAATCAAATATCCAGCCCTCCTTCCCAAGGCCGCTCTCACCTGAGGAGGCGGGCGCGCTTCCTGAATCACTTTCAGCACTCGTGCCTGGAAATTCTTGCGCCCCAGATCTCGGGGCACTTCTGGCAGACTATCCAGGCGCCCGACAGCGCGGCGCAAATGGAACATCGAGCTCTCCAGGAACACGGGGTCGGAAAAGCGGGCGATGACGAAATCCTCTCCTTCAGCTATCTGGTTATAGTATTCGCCTACTCTCTGATACATCATGCTCCTCTTCGCCGTGCGATACTAGGCCGCCATACAAATGTGTCTTAATTGAGGCATTTCCAAATTGATACCACAGCTCTCGATATCAAAGAAAACATCTCGAGGCACTGCGTGTCGGGGGCCGTTGACAAGTAACTGCATGCACTCGTCCTCCAGTCGGCATGCCGAGACGGGAGGCTCAAAAAACTGCTCAACGCACTGCGTGACAGGCAAGGCAAGCGTTTTGGACGACATGGTGGTTTCGACGAATCCCAGTCCCAACCCACGAACCCCACGAACTCTCCAAACAGATTTGATCAACGGATCCTTCCACGAGCTCACATCACCTCCCCGCCCCATATACAGCCCCATGTACTTCCCTTGAACCCAAGTCTGGATACTGGACTCCCAACTCCTCTAACCTGTCCCTGACAGACTGCTCAATAAAGCCACCCCAGAACACAATCACCGTCTTCGCACGGTTGAGGAGAAGCCCTGCCGCGAGCCCACACTGCTGCACGATCGCCATCAGAGTGTGGAATGTGACAAGCAGATCCTGCGAGCCGTGGAACATGTCATCTGCACAACAGCACGCCGCACTGAACGGTGAAGGAAGCGCACAGCCAATCGCCCTCACCACTGGATCTAGTGACAAAGCAAGCATGCCCCCCTGACGCGGGACACCCCTGCTCAGTACCCAAGGCAATATCAAATCCAGGAAACCGACATCCACCAAGGAGAATTTCAGTACGAACACCTCTATACAGAAACCGAAGAGCACGGATAAACGAGATGAGGATTCCCATAGACTCCAGAACCCACCAGATCCACTCGTGGCTCAGAAAGGGAAGCGCAGCACGGACGCCGAGCACGATGCCCCCAGCCGTCCGCTCTCCGAGCACACTGCGCCAGATCGCCCGCGTCGAATTGGCCTCCAGCACATTGTCGCACAGCGAGCGGTTCTGAACAAAGCCCCTCTGAGCTCCGGCGCATGATGTAGATGCTTGACGAGCCAGTCCCCAGGGCACCATCGAGCGAAATGTTTTGCTACCTGTACTCCCAGGACAAAGCGGCCGAACTTCAGCGGGCGCTTTGGTTAACTCGCCCACGCAGTCAGGCACTTCGCCCTTCGGGGTGAACACTGTTAGGCGCTCGTTAAAATCGGAGTCCACGATCTCGCCTGGACCAAACTCCTGGAACCCCTCAAAAAGAATATCTCCCCCCAGTCCTCCAGACTTGAATATAGCAACTGGAAGGCGCTCCGCCAGGGCCAGGGCAATAATCTCGAAGCTGCTTCAGACCAGAACAGAACAGCACAAAATCCGTTTCCCAGCTAATGGCCCCCGAACGCTTCTGAGCAAATCTCTGGAAGGGCTTCCTCATCTCACGGGCCCCGTGGTTCATGTGCATGAGCATCTTCCCAGTGTCTAGCCAACAACTTAGCGTTATCTTCCAAGGAGTCAGAAACAACTCCGCCAGGCCCCTCAACCGCACCTAGTACCAGGCGCCTATGACTCGCGCGCCAAGCCAAGATAAAAAGCTTGATCTGCTGGACACGGTTGGCTTGAACTCCCCCGAAAGCTGCGGATCCGAAAACACCTCCTTGAGCCCGCCCTCCAAACCCTGAGACGGATACTGCCTCATCCTTTCGATAAACCGCCGATACTCCTTCCAAACCATCCCATTTACATCGATAAAACCGTTCAGCTCCTTATGCGCTCTCTCAGCTTGTCCAAGAACGAAACTGTCGTCCCGCGACATGGCCCTCAGCGCCGCGAAGCACCAGGCCAACTTCTCTACAGCCGACACTGGCTCTTCAACTGCGAGACCCGACTTAACCATGCGAGCGGCCTCGTGCAATACTTCCTTGAGCATCTTCTACTTCTGAAAAACCAGATTCCGAATCAGGCATAGCTGTCCAGAGCTCCAAAACATACGCCGCACGTTGAAGCTTTTTCACCACCCAGCTCGGGATTATTGCAGTTGGCCTACCTCCTGAGTTCAACTGAACGCACAGCGGCGAGTGGTCGCTGGGCCTAGGTAAATCCGTGGCAGGCCACACCACTCCAGAAAAGGCCGTCTCGCGAGCAGACTACCGCTGCCCAAGCCGGTGTAGATACGATCACGCCTGCTCGCCGAGAGAATAATATTTTGCTGCTGGACACGGAACGTCGGCTGCAGCTGGGCCAACTCGCATAACTGCGGGAACATATTATAGAAGTACTGGCCCACTGCGTTTGTCTTAGCATTCACCACCTCCTCCCTATGATATAGTCGTGCGTCACCCGGCACTGGCCAATTGAAGTTCCCGAATACCCACGATGCGAACCACTGCGACGGAAAAAGCGAACGCGATAACCGTCTAATCAATCCATATGTCATGCTGCTGGTCAGCGCAGCGTTAATGTGGACGTTCCACACCAACATACACCCACGCCGACCTCGAAGATCCAATCTGTGACACCTCCCACTGCTGAGTACTTTATGAGACAATCGGGAGAACTGCCGTAAAAAATCTGCTGGACGAGAATAGCGGACCCGCCAGCAGCTCTATCTGGGGGCAAAATACCTCATGCCTGAAACCGAGGGAGATCAGCAAGCAATTGCTGCAGGTCCTCCTGAATACCGTGACATTCCTGGAGGCATAAAATTTGGGCCTGCCCGCACAGCCTCACCACCGTCGCCCGAGTGCGTGCTTGAATTCCGATGTTTCCCTCGACCGAACCGAAGAAGGTGTGACAATTCCAAGTAACGATGCGAAGCCGACCTTCTGGACAAATCGGAACCTCAAGGCACAGGATCACCACTATCCCTGTCCGAGTACGACTTAGGCGACGAACAAGAAGGGCTCGCGGAAGAGGCGGAAAAGGAACAGCTGATACTGACTGGCCCGCCTTCCAAAATATCACTTCTGCTCGGATTTTTGTTGACGATGAACTGGCTGCGGAAACACCGATGCATTAATCAGTCGCAAAACGCTGTCAATATCATCCTTTCCGATTCTCAGAGCTAGCAGCTCAAGCGCAGCCGACACCATCATACGTCCAAGCGAGTCGGTGCTGCCACGAAATAGAATCCATATGTCGTCGTCCTTGATGAAATAGAACTCGCTGCGATACAGACCCTTGCGGGTGAGTCTCCTTCATCGGCAGCCACGCTCGTCACATCTGCCCCTGCTTCGACCTTACATCACCCGGAGAACCAGCACGCACACGAATGTCATGCCACACATTATCCCGAGGGTCTTGCCAACGCATAGGATGCTCCAGCATGAAGTCGTGCAACTCCTTGGCAATATGGACCGGAGAGAAGTGGACACTGTGGCTCTGGCTGAGTCTGGCGAACTCGGCTTGCATGTCCTCTGCGATGTGCTGCTGAACGTGTCGACGCAACGCGTTCTGGAAATGGGCTTGCCTCGCTGGCAACAACAGCGGCCGAAGAAAGCCGCCGATCCACATCCTACGGTCGTCAGGCTCATCTGCTTGAACTGATCCAACACTTGTAACCGGGGCATTCCGAGCCTCGAGGATCGTTGTCTTACGCACCTCCCCCGTCAACCCTGCTTGCTGATCCGAGAGAACCCTCATGCGCTCCTCCTTCCCTCGGCTGGCGGCAGCATTCTCCTCCATCGCCTTCGCCATCCTCTAGAGCACGGACATCTCGACGACCGTGGTCTCCTCGTCGCCCATCGCACTGCCGCGGGAGCGAGACTCTTCCGTGCGGGAAATGGGGACTGTCCCCGCAGAACCGCTCGAGCCAGCCTCGTTGGCTGCAACAAGCGCTAGCCCCCAAGGCCAGGGTTAGAACTTGAGCCAAAATGGCTACGGAGGAGGAGGAGGAGTGGGAGGAGGAGTAGGAGAGGAGGGGGAAGGGCAAGGGGTGCGTGAGGGAGCACTGGGAGGGACAGGACGAGCGGCGGGGTGAGCAAGGGATCTGGCACGCCGCGGGGAGAGGGCCCGGGGCACGGGGCGAACCAGGGGCAGCAGAAGCAGCAGCCTCCACGATGAGGAACCAGCGTAGCCAGAGCGCGGTCCTTTCGCGTCCTCCAGATAGGAGCAACGCACCTGCGGAAATCTTGCCGCAGTTGGATTCCTCGGCATCTGATCTGGGCAAATGCTTGAAGGCCATCGCTGGGTCACCAGCACATCGTCATCAGGCACCCTTTTCGCGCCCGCGTCGACGCAGAAAAACGCTTGCCGCGGAGGTTCTACAGTGCACCCCTTGGCGTGGAGATGGCACTCACTGTTGCTCGTCATGTTGGGCCTTACGCGCAGGGGGATGCGCCGAAACCGCACAAGGAACTTGCTAGATGAACAGGGCGTTGCTCAAGCTGCACCGTCTCCGCTACTAAGCCCCACGAAGGGTGTGCTGGCCGCCTTCGAACGGCCTCCCGTGACGCTGCAGCACTGCCTACCCCTCTGTCTTGTCATGTATGGAAGGTGAACCATATCCACCTCCTGTGGTGCCTCATCTGGGCTGCTCTCGTATTCGGCCTCGCATTGCTCCCCCAATCAATTCCCGTAGAGTCTTTCCGCGATATGGCCCATTCCAGAAACCCTGGATCCCCAAAAATTAACCCAGCGCGACCCCAATTAGGGGAAAGCTTCCCATTGCATGGGCGCAGTGCTTGGCATTGCTTGCCATTGCTTGCCATTGCTTGGTGTTACTTCGCATTGCTTGGCACTGCTTCACATTCCTCGGCATTGCTTCGCATTGCTTGGCACTGCTTCGCATTGCTCGGCATTGCTTCGCATTGCTTCGCCTTGCTTGGCATTGCTTGGCATTGCAACCCGGGGAACCCGAGGAACCCGAGGAACCCGAGGAACCTGGGGAACCTGGGGAATCCGAGAAAGCCGAGAAACCTGGGGAACTGGGAAACCCGAGGAACCCGGGGAACCCGGGGAACCCGAAGAACCTGGGGAAACCGAGGAACCCGAGGAACCGAGGGAATCTCCAGGGAACGGGAAGTGTAGGGTCCCGAGACACCAATTTTCAACCGAGTAAGAACCCCTTAGACAAGCCCAACTGGGAAATCTTATCTTAGGATTGGCTCACAGCGGCAAACTTCCGCCGACAGGGCCGCCCACGTTTTGCTTCCGCCGGCCATTCGTCAGCCTCCTGCCACCTTCCGCCGAGAAAGAGATGTCGACAGCAAAGCCCTTTTCTGGAGCGCCCCCATGGGTGCCGTGCTCAAGTCTTGCAGAAGGGCAACCCACTGACCAGACCAGTGCATCATCGTCATGTTATTGCCATTCGTATCATCATCGTCGTCTCTATTGTCGCCATCCACATAACTCATCACTCATCCTCCTCACTCCCCATTCAACACCCGCCACCTCTGGATCCTGACTTTACACTTGTCCCTCCTGGTTCTGGGCTCGCACTCCTCCTCTCCCTCATCCTCCTACTCATACTTAGGATCACCACACCCATCACCACCATCATCATCATCATCATCAGCATCATCATCATCATCACCATCATCATCATCATCATCATTATCATCATCATCATCACCATCATCAGTATCAGCACCACCACCACCGCCATCATCAGCATCACCCATCATCACCAGCATCAGCAGCATCATCATCATCGTCATCATCCTCATCATCGTCATCAATATCATCATTATCGTCATCATGGTCCTCCTCCTCCTCCTCATCATCATCATATTCAGAATCAGCATCGTCATCATCAGCAGCACCATTAACATCACCATCACCATCATCATCATCAGTATTATCATCAGCATCATCAGCGTCATCATCATCGCCATCATCATTATCAGTCTGATCCTCATTATCCTCGCCTTTCTCATCAGCATCATCATCATCATCATCATCATCATCATCATCACCATCGTCATCAACATCCTCATCCTGATCATCGTCATGTCAATGAAAGTGCGAATCATCATCAGAAGCAGCATCATCGTCATCATCAGCAACATCAGCATGATCATCATCATCATCGACAGCATCAACAACACCGTTATCATCACCACCATGACCACCACCACCACAACCATCAGCGTCACCATAAACATCATCATCATCATCATCATCACCATCATCGTCAGCACGATCAGTATCATAATCATAATCAGAAGCATCATCATCACCATCATCATCAGCATCGTCATCATCAGCATCATCATCACTAGCAGCATCATCTTCGTCGTCGTCATCATCGCCATGATCGCCACTATGACCATGATCATCAACATCGCCATCCGAATCGCCGCCAACACCGTGATCATCATCGACATCACCACACAGCAGAAATGACCGCCGAAATCGTATGCATCACCACCATCATCCACCATCATCGCCATCATCATCACCACAGACATCACCCTCATCATCATCATCAGCATCAGCATCAGCAGCAGCATCAGCAGCAGCAGCGTCACCATCGCTGTTGCACCGTCACCAACGGCATCATAAGCATAATAATCAGCATCCTAAACATCACCATCATCATCATCGTAGCCATCATCACTGGCACCATCATCACCACCAGCATCAATATCCCACCACTGAGCAGAACCATCTCCACAACCACCATCAACATCATCAACATCACCATCTTCATCAACATCATCATCAGCATCATCTCCATCACCAGTGCCTTCACCATCAGCAGCAACCTCATCGCCAATC